AGATAGATAGATAGATAGATAGATAGATAGATAGATAGATAGATAGATAGATAGAATTACGGCTTACCTCTACTCAATTGCAACGCTAAAAAAAACATATTCAGGCAAGTTTTTCTTTCAAAATGCGTTCACTATTCCCTGGTCCACAATCCTTATGTTGTGTGGTAGCAAAGCTCGTGTATAACGAAATAGTTTACTCCTCTCTCTAACAAACTGTGCTTTTCCTATTCTTCCTTTGGAGAAACGAAAGAGAGCTTCAATACAAAGATTGCAGCGCCTTCTGAACCAATGTGCGGACTTCCGCGGACACTTTTTTGGCTGAGTGAACTATTTTGTTACGTACGATCTTTGGTTGAAGTTACGCGTTTTCCTGTTTGACACACAAAGACATGAAGTCGGCTCCCCCGAAGGGAACTCTATCATTCATTATAATAATATTATAGTCTTTCTGTTGTGTTTGCCGTACCTCAAAGTGAGGGTAGTTGGAGGGTGCTCTGGTGTTGTTTGGTCTCTTATCAAACACCAATCGTCCTGACCTCTCCTTTTTTCTTTTTTTCTTTTTGTGTGCCTGTTGCTCTCTTATAACACCTCTAATCTTCGGCACTTATATGACCTTATTGTGTTGCAAGTGCCGCGTAAAACTCTTACTAAAACTAAGTACTTCAACGAGCCCGGGGCGGATAAGGTTGAAAAAGTCCAACTTCTAATTAAGTGCGATAAATTGCGCTAATGTGGGGATACAAATATTTCGTCATAAGCAATCATTTAGATGGGGAGACAGAGCCGCAAGTCCTATTAAGGCGCTTGGGGGGTTCATTACGTAATGTTTAGAACAGAGTCGAACTGCTACGATGAGACAACTACTCAAAATATGACAATGTCGAGTACAAGTTTTAACTTTGAATCCATGGGTGGTTGGTGGGTGCTCTGGTGCGGTTTGCTTCTTCTTTCCTATCAAACATCTATCGTCTTATCTCCTCTTTTTCTTTTTTATGCTTGTTACTCTCTTGTAACACCTCTAATCTTCTTGCGCTCATATGACCTTATGCATTTGCGAGCGCCGTAAAACCTCTACTACAACTCAAACTTAACAATTGGTTTTATTTTCCTTTTTGAAATTACACCCCCCCCCCTTCCTTTAACCCCATCTCCCTAGCCACATTGTTCTGAAGACACAGGACAAAGAAGGTGTCCCGCTTTTTCCACAATGCGGCTTCTTATTTCACTTTTGTGATGTCCAAGTGTCGGTGGTCTGGTCACGTTCCCTCTCTCTCTCTCTCTCTCTGTCTCTCCC